ACACCTACGGACAATTTAGAATCACCAATTAACCTCAACATGTTTTTGGACAGTGTGGGATGTGTCAAATAAAATTTAACAGGTGGACTTTGACACTGATGGGGCACAGATAAACTAACATTTTTTTAGTAAAATTCAATTATAAATTGGTGAAAATCTGGCAGCAAAATTTGACAGTGAAATACTATAAGTTTAAACAGCTATAAAAACAGTGAAAATAAAAGTAAATATTTGTTTAAAAAAATAGTTATTAGCTCATTTGAATATGGCAAAACTGTGTTCTTCTATGGTCAGATGAAAACTGATTTGTAAAATAGAGATTTTTAATGTGAACAGTATGAAGAGTTTTGGTCTGTTTTTATACAGTCAGCACATATATAATATAAATACATTAATAATATCTATTATTCCCAAACAGATAAAATCTGTAAACATCTATAATCAAATCCTTGTTAAAAGCTTTTCAAAAACTAAGACTTTTTACAATATAGACTGATTCATCAGGGTAGATTTCCCTATGTTGGTCTATCGAAACACAAAACACACCACTTAGCTAAGACCACAATGACAACTACGTTTATTTTGGGTCCTGCTCACAACACTATCTGATTGGTTAATAGTGTTTCAACACTGAGATACATACTGAAAACTTTACTTTAATTAAACTTGAAAAACAAACAAATAAAAGCGTTTCAACAAAGTCTTACGTTGAAGTTTGTGTCTTTCTGAATTTTGACCATTTTCATTTTTACTGCAAATGTATAATGGATCCAAATGTTGAAAATTGTTCTGCTTGATTATTGATAATTCGTATCAGACGTAAAAAAAAAAAAAAACGTTGTCAGTCAACCCCTAATTAACAGAGTTAACAATAATTAGCGATGATAGATATAGTCTGCTGCCAGGAACTTCAGTCTAATCTTACAAAAGTAGTACAGGCTAAACATTAGAGGTCCTGTTACCTTAATGTTTCACACTGCTAAAAAATAAAAGAGGGAAACTGGTTATTGGATCTTGTCATTTCTGAAGCTTTGACTCAGTTGCTCACAGACAACAGTCAGGGATGTGAACAAACATGCTCCACACACACAAAAAAAAAGGCTGGCTACCTCCTGACAGCACAAAGAGGAGCCCTTTCATTCTGTGTATTTGGCCAAATAATTTGCGCCAGGTTGTAACACATGAAAAAGTCAAAAATACGGAAACAGTGTGCGCAATCGGTTAACCAGAAAAGGCACAAAGCAAACAGCCAGTACATTTGTAGTGCAGACGTCTACTCAGAAGTCTGCTTGGACCCTGCAGCTTTGGGAAGAAAACGAAATTTATGTCGCATGGAGCAGCCAAGCAGACACGGAACATTGGCCTTTATAGTATATCAGCCCCAAAACTAACTTCTCTTGGTTTATCAAAGCAGACGTAACTCATCGACTCTTGTGCCACTAGAAAACTGGAGTACTTCAGTGTGGCAAGAGAAGATTTTAGATTTGTACCAAGGGTGGTTGGATACAGACTCAACAGAGTTCTGTATTTTCATTATGCGTCAAAGTTTCAAATAAAATTTCTCGAAAGCATTGGGTCGAGATTTTGTAGATATATTGATGAACCCCTCTGAATGAATGATTGTGTGTTCCCTTCATTAACTCTGACAGTCCCATCAGGCTCAACTGTACTAATCTTCAAATGTGTGCATGCTAAACTGTTATGTAAACTGTATGCCACCGTAAAATGCAGCAAAGGTCATACATAAATTAGTATTTATGAATTAAAGACCAAAATCGTAACTGGAAATGTCAACATGTTCAACATTCTCTTGAGAGGGCTTATTATTAAAGTCAGTTGTGCAACTCCAAAAGAAATCCAAGTTTCTGTGTAACTCCTTAACAACATAAAAAAAAGTTAATTTTGTACAATAAACAACATGGACACCGTGGATATTTAAAAGGTGTGTTTCAGTCACTATTTCATATCTGTTGTCTGACAACAGAAACAGAAAAATTTGTAAATGACACATGAGCACAGGGAGCAGGAGAGAAGCAACCAATGTAAAACGATAGTGTTTCTATTCAGATGTTCCTGCTGCTGTGGTTTTCCGTCCAAATTCTGCACAGTTTACAAACCACCTTTTTGTTCTGTGATCATTTGAAGTACTCCCATAGTCTCACAACCTTGGATTTTCGGAAACATTTACATTTCAGTGACTTTGCAGCTACCACCGTTATCCAAAAACCCAAACTGCTGCACAGTGATACTGAGGAAAACCGTTTGTTATAATAAATTGACGTGGTAGGGTAAAAAAAAAAAAAACTGAATAAAAATATTGAAGTCGACTCATTTCAAGTGCTGATGCTGTTGAAGAAGTTTTACCTGGATTACACCTGCTAACTCTACCTTTGATGTGAAGATGTTAATATAAAACCCAATGAACACCGTGCCCTGGTGTCTCGCACACATGCAGGTCTTAGAGTTATTTTTAGCTTTGAAGAACTTGTCAAAAACTAGACGGGAGAGTCAGAAGGGTTCAAGAAATGTGTTGGATACAGAATTGATTTGCATTCTGTTCCGTTTTGGAGAAAGGCACAATGTCTTAAGGTTGACAAGCTGAAAAGGTGAGGGCTAAAACAGAGTTGGAAAAAAAAAATCTGTGTAGATTCTCAGCCATCCATGTCTTGGTAATCCTGGAAGGTTCAGTAAACAGCATCGAGACTTCTCTCTTAGGTTCTTGAAGGTATTTTACCTCTCATCTAGGAGGAGCTCCTCGAGTTGAGAAGCATTTTCAGTTGAAGGTCAGGACTTAATTATAGAAACGGTTAAAAGGTAAGGATCAAAGCCTCACTGTTCCGTCCGTGGCATTCCTGTTTTCGCTCTCTGCCAAACAGGTCTGCCTCAGCAGGCAAGCTGACCAGAAAGTAGTCGGATTTCCAAGAGGCTGGCTGGCAGAGACGACAGGATGAAGAACATTCCTCTGCAGCCCTGTGTTATCACTTCCCTTTCACTAATGGCATGAATCGGGCGGCACAGCGGAAAACAAGTGCCCCTGTGCCACATCAAAAAAAGCACTGAGAGGAGACGGGGAAACATTTCAGTTTGGCCACACACTTCTTCAGTGGTAAATATTTCATCGGTGTAGCTGGTCTCATCCGCTCTTTCCCTCTCTTCTACCTCATGCGAGGCTGTCTTCATGCCAGGTCACTGAGTGCTTTCCATGGAAGAATAGAGCAATGGAAAAAAGAAAAAAGAAAAATACTTTTCCATGATGGGGCTGAAATCCTTTGCTCAAAATACAAGCGAACCAGATCATCTGCTTGCAGAAGTTACAATGCGAACTATCATGTGATCAAGTATCTCCAATGTCATGTCAGATGAATAACGATGAGACTTTGTGGAGCAGGTCTGAACTACACACAAGGTTCCCATTTCTTTTTCCGTTGTGCTGATTGAACATGATATCATAGGGAAAATGAAACTGAGTTTATAGATTTTTATTCTTTCCGAAACACGACAAAGGGTGCTTTTCATGTCCGCTGTCCTTCTGTGACCCGACCGTGGTTCCCTCATGCCACCTTGTAGGATCTTCCAGTTACTTCAATGCACCAAGGAGACAAGGCGAGAGGAGGCTTTGGGAGGAGCTTGGAGCAAGGACACACGAAATCATTGCATAAAGAAGTCTTTTATCAAGCCTTGTGACGTACAAATACCACACCTTCGTGGGCATCGGTTTGATTGGACAGGTGATACAGCTGGGCAGCACGTCAAGAGAAGCTGTTGTCGTAAAAGACTGACGCTGTGGAAAAAGGATTTCTCATTTGGCAGCTTCGGTTTCTGACTTCTTTAGAAACTATTGTGTGATCTTTGCAGCATGCTTTGGATTGTTATTGCACTAGAATATCCTTCTTCTGCCAAGATTGTTCAGACTGTTAGTCATCTTGCCAGTATTTTGGTATTATTCACAGGCATTCAAGTACCATCTATAAACGTCATGTCCCAACACATTTTGCACTCACAGCCCCATATCATCACACTCCTACCTCCGTGCTTCACTGTCAGGACTATGCTCATAGTTTAATCATAGCAACTGCACTTGCTTGAGTTTCTTGAAGATGTTTCACCTCTCATCCAAGAGGCTTCATCAGTTCTGACTGACTAATTGGGTGTTCCAGATACTGACAATCTTAAGGAGCCATTAACACTTGAGTTTCGGTTTCATGGCTATGTTAATGGACCCTTAAGGATATAAGTATCTGGAACACCCAACTAGTCAGTCAGAACTGATGAAGCCTCTTGGATGAGAGGTGAAACGTCTTCAAGAAACTCAAGCAAGTCCAGTTGCTATGATTAAACTATGAGAATAACAATGACCTGGATGACTGAGAATCTTTACAGACATGTCAGGACTATGAATTCACTGTGGTAGATACTCAATCTGAGCCAAACAAATTTTCCTGATTTGACCAAAGAATGAGCTCCTAATGTGTGCTCATGTTCTTTAGTAAAGCTTCATCTTAGAGTTTAGTGTCAAAGCACAAAAAAGGAGTTTTTTTCTTCATGTCCATAGAAGCTGATTTTATTAACCGTCTTTAGTACTGTAGAGATGTCACAGAAAGTTGAATTTCCATGTATAACCTCTGTGCCAAGTCTGAAGCACATTTCAATTTGTTTTTGTGCGAGCAGTGCACTGTTTGTGGCATCATTTTAGTAGTAGTATTATTACTACAAAGTCATCTTCCTACAGAGATCAATTAAGTCTTCTGATTCTTTGTGTGGTCAAGTTTTATGTACTTACAGATTTTACCCATTGCTTTTAAATGTATTTGTTCTTTGAACCCCCAAGAACCTTCGAAATGTGTACATGTGACATCTGACTCAAATAATTCAAAATAAAAAATAAACATGCAAACACAGATCAATCAACTACCAGGCCTCCTGTTTCATTGTGGTGAAACCAGACACACAAACACAAATCCAGAAGTTAGTCAGGTGATCCACCTCATTCCTGAGCTTACCACATAGGTCATGGATGACGTCCAGGGATGACGACCATGAGTAGCGCTCTATTCCCACTTGAGTGAGAGACGATGGCAAAGCCTCCACTTCATAGGCACCACGCTTCTTCCAGTACAGAAACATTGTCACTTCTTCAACCAGCCGCGGCTTTCTTGTAATGAATGTAACTTAACTGTTAAAAAAAAACATCATCCGAAGACCGAAGTCATTCCACAGTGTTAATGGTGGAACCAGTTGGTCTCACCAGCCCCCGACCCCCCAAAAAATAACAATCTGAACTTGTGCAGACATTTAACACACTGTTCTCATCAGCCATCTTTAAAGATAAAACTTGCCAGCCAGATCTGCTTCAAACTCTGCCAACTGCCAATATGTTCATTCAAAATCTCCACCTGCACCATTACCTCATCCAGCTTGTGCTTGCTAAAACTTGCTTTGAACCTTCTGTCAAAGTCTGATCCTATTTCATCGCCAGTCCAAGTGAGCAAACAAAGTTCCCTCAAGTACAATCCATTAGATCGCCGGGGGACAGCGGTATTGATTCTGCAACTGGGGCAAGTTTTACGACTGCCATCCAGGTTTTAATGGCCAATTCTTAAGTGATGCTGAAACTGATCGCGCTTCTTTCAACAAAACAGAGTCTAATCCGTGTCTCTGAGCCTTCTGCTTCCTGTCGATCCGGTAGATTTTTAGGTTCCCCACTAATCATCCACTGAAAGCCACCCACGAGGAGCTGTCAAGCACCAAATGTTGCCTTCTTCTAATCCATTTAACCGAGCTATTCCTGATTAATTACAGACGTCCAAGGTGTTGAAATCTTATCTCCAGGAGCGAGCAGTCCTTCCCCTGCTGTTGCCTTCTCTGAGCCTCTACTTCTTCCATGACAAAGTTTCTGAAACTGTACAAAACTTGACGCAAGCGGCTCATGTTAAAGCCCTGTGTAGGATCTCCTGGCGATAGGGGGGCTTTCTGCCCACTCCATCGGACAAGTGTTGTATTCATGCAGAGGTGAGTTGCATGCTGGGACGGGCAATCTGGGCCAATGGCTTTTGGACTGGGTGACACAAAGATCTCTTTTAAGCCTCCTCCTACATCCAGAGTGGACTTTCTTTATGTTTTGCTCAAACTGTAAAAAGGCTGACATTTTTCTGCATTAATTAGTGCCCGCGCCCTTTATGTCTCCTGAATGATTTATTCCTTTTTTATGAATGCACCAGCTCTGTGGTGAGTGAGCTCAGTTATTTCTGTGGAGGTACAATGCACACAATTGGCCTCTTGGACACGAGAAAAGCCAAATGAGCAAAAGGAGTCTTGTTACAAACTCGAACAATATGCACCACTTCTTTAATACATCTCTGGAAAAAGCTGAAGGGTTAAAACAACATGAAGTTCGATATCTCAAGTCGAGGCATAATATTTTCCCTCAGCGTTGCTTAAAAGGCAGATGCACTGCTATTATGCGTCTAAAATGGGAGAAGAAATACTGTGAGAATGTGCTGCGCCGGCCGGGGAAAGGGAGGGACGTTGTCACACATAGCGACCCACATGTCCAATTTTGGGATAAGAAATTAGAGGGTAGGATGGGAGCCGGTTTGCTGCTCAGCTCTGGGCTTTGCAGACATATGGTAATAATCTGAAGCAGCTTTGAGCACGCAGCTTCCCTTTTAATGAAGAGAGCAGTTGTGCAGCATGAGAACTGGGCTGCGAATACAAGGGCCAATTTCCACCTACTACAGAAACAAAGCGGGAAGCAGATGAGGTATTAGACAGAATCGCTTTCATCATCATCCATCAGATCAGCGTTTAATTAAAAAAAAAAGAAAAAGACACTTTCTTTTTTTAGCCATATCAACAGAAGAAAATACCTGCTCCACTATGGCACAAGTACTGACATTCAAATGCGTTATATAGATTATGAAACAAAAATTGAATTCATTTAGAAACTCTTTCGACACTCTTTCCACAGTCAGCTGTGTGCGGGCACAAGGTGCATTTTCTGGCAATCTTCAGGTCCAGTCAAAGTCTAATAATGTAGGCGAATCTACTTTTTCTACCGTCAATATACAGTCTCTTTCATGTACACATTTCCTAAAGCCATTTTCTATTGCACTTTCATAAATTTGAGGACCTAGCGAAAGACACATTAAAAAAAAAAAAAAGGTCAACTACAGGGCAACCAAAAAAACTCCACATTGCCCATTATGCAATTCCCATCTTTTCACTTGACCCTCCCTGCCTCTTAAACACCCTCATCTTTCAAAGCCCACATCCACAGGGTTCCGCCTAAAAAAAAAAAAAAAAACAGAAAAAAAAGAAAAATCAAGTCACAAGTTCAAGCTGAAATAACCCTGATGTAATCACTATAAAATCATCAGGGTTATTTTTTCAGACTTAACAAAGCTCCTCCAGAAACACAGAAGGCATTATACAACTGTTTTTATAAGCTGAGCAGCACTCCTCGTGACCCAAAAATAGAACTTCATATGTGAAACTGTTGGATTGGGCACTGAAAAAATGTCACTAATTAAAAAATACATGAAGTACAGCATTATGTACAGCTGCTTTACACTTCCGTCAACACATCTGATAACTGTGTTAACTTTTTCCAACATGTGGCATCCAGCAGTTTGGAACGAACATCATCTTGATAGACTCAAAGTGTGCATCTCTCAACAGTAAGAATGCAGTTTTCTGATACTCTAACGATGATGGAAGGAGTATCTCAGCATTTCACAGAGTGGTTTTCATCTTATCATCCAGGACAATGATTTATTATGCTAAAAGCTTGATTAGAAGATTGATACCACCATCATATGTGTCTGAGAAGTCTGAAGCCGCAGCCAGAAGACGGTTAACTTGGCTCAGGGGATTACGTGTCTTCTGGCTCTGTCCAAAAGTTTAAAAAAAAAAATCCATCAGCACCTCTGAAGCTCACTGACTAACACACGATATCTTGTTTGTTTAATCCTTAAGCAAACTGTAATGTAAAACCAACATGTTGTGGTTTCATGTAGACTCTGCTGGCAAGCTCACAGTGACAACAAGACTCCTAGAAGTGACTGCTGGGCGCCGAGAAACACTTCCATCAATGTCCTCCTAAAACCGTTACTACAACCTGAATTTGTCATTTTTTTATTTATATGTTTTGTATAGTTAGTTATAGTGAGCTTTAAGATGCAGAAAATGTGTTTAAAGCATATAAAACACTATTTCAGGACAAGAACTACAAAAATCAATCATCAATGAATACGACTAAAACTGATTAAGATGATGAAGATGAACTAATCATTGTTTTAATGCAGTGTGTTGCAGCATCTGTACTGCAGGTTCTGATTAAAAGTTCCTTTCCCTTTTCAGTAGATTTATCAGTTTTTCCTGTTGTGTTGCTTCTAATTCTGAAGCTCCTCACAGTCAGTAATGTTACCGGATTTTCCAGAAAGAATCAGACCAATGAACTAAAGTTATCTACAAACTATAATGAAAAGTGGCAACAAGACAGCTGAGATAAACTACAAACCCAGCCAGCCAGCAGCTGAAATTTACAAAAAAAAGTAAGCTACCGTTAATCTAATCCTGCTCCTATAACAGAGGTGATGCTGCTCTCAGATGGGATGAGTCAGTTCCAGGATTAATGCCTGCGCTCCATCTAAATCTTCCTCCAGATGATCACTAAAGAACTATTGCTGGATAACTTTTCCAACCTTCGTCACCTCTAAAGCTAAATCCAGACAATAAACAGGAATTTGGTGATCAAGTGAGTGAATCATTTCCTGAATGAATTGCTGCTCTTCTTTAAAGGGCAGCCGCTGCGATGACTAATGCTAATGTCAGGAGAGTTCATCTGCTGTATCACTGCTGAGCACAGGGACGTGGACGTTTAGTCTTAAACATGAACCTCATCATAGATAAGAGGTGTGTCAGGAAAGTTCCAGGACTGGTGTCACAAAAGATATATTTCAAACCCAAACTACAAACCACGAGTTTCCCCCTTTAGACGATCAACCAGCACATATACAAAGAGATCCTGCGGCGTTTGCTTCGTTCAGTGCGCGAGAACAGGAGAGAGTTGTGGCAGGACAAGTCGTGGCTGCTTCACCATGACAACGCGCCTGCTCACAATGACCTGAGCATCCCACAGTTCCTGGCTAAAGAGAACATCGCCATGCTGGAGCAACCTCTCTACTCATCCCACCTGGCTCCATGGGATTTTTTTCCTCTTCCCCAAGCTCAAGGGGGTCATCAAGGGGACCTGTTTTGAAGATGTGGATGACATCAAGCTGGCTGTGACGACAGAGCTGTGGTGGATCCTGGAAGAATCCTTCCAGGAGTGCATGGCAACGTGGCAGAGAAGGCTGGGGAAGTGTGGGATTACTCTGAAGGGGAAAACTTGTAGTTTGGATTTGAAATATATCTTTTGTGATACCAGTCCTGAAACTTTTCTGACACACCTCGTATAACACCTGACACCATGGTAACCACACACAAAGATGGCGACAGCTGTAGCCTCAAAGTGCTTAGATTGTACAGAAATTAAAAATGCACAAAATGAGACTGATGAAAATCCCGTCATCCTCCATCACGGCATCCCTGCAGGTCTCCCAAGGCGAGCTAGTCTGCAGCGGCCGCCTGGGCCTCTCCTTGTCTGCACACATCCCCAGGTGGCCATGGTTGCACTTACAAGACGGGCTTCCAGCCTTAAAACCCTGTCAACTGTGTCATTTGTGTCCCCCACCAGCTCCACCTCCTAACTAAGAACTCTTAACAGTCTGCTTTGATGGACTTGATGTCAACTTGTGCATGGATTCTAATACAGGATCCCCATTCAGAGACACTGGTTCTAGGTCGGACACTCTGACCTTTAACCTCAGTACAGTGTAGTGGTTTCACCCTGGTCACCGCCTGCCTTTTACTTGCTTTCTTTATTTGATGTGTATCGAGGTAAGAACATGTTTATGCTTATTTGGTTTTATATTTGTGTGCAAATGTATTTACCTGTATGCTTTTCATTGCTGTGTTAACCTTAGAATTATTACAGATGTGACTTGATACATCGACTAAAGTAGGTAAATTCAATATAAATCTATTTTCTGCTTCTCTTTTTCTAAAATTAGGTCATTGAAAGTGATCAGTAATTATCCATTTACTTGAATGAAACATAATCGTGAGATAATCTTTCAGTTGTATAATCTAGAGAGGCAGATTATTTGTTTTGCCTTTTGAAGGATCGAGACCAAATGTTTCCTCTTGTTCACCATCTTTGTGCTGTGCTAAGCTAAGCTAAGCTAAGCTAAGCTAAGGGTCTTCCGGCTTCAGCTTCATATATAAAACACAGACAGTGTGGCATCAATCTCCTCAACAAGCTCTCAGCAATACTCACATTTTCCACTACGCCTTTAATACATTATAAATGAGTGAGTGAACACATTTGACATATTTCAAATGACTAAAGGAGTTACCGTCGTATTATCACTCAGGTAACTCAGGAGCGTCCAGTTTATCTTAGCGTGAGACCTAAATAGCAGCTAAAAGCTTGTGGTGTGCCGAGTCTGAACGAAGCTGCTCCTCAACAGGATCCCTGCAGTATTAATGGCACGTTGAGAAATGAGTCTATGAGAGGCTGCAGTACGGCGAGACTGTAAATGAGTCTGCTCGATGTGTGTGCCGAGGGGAAAAGAAGTGCGCGAGCCGGGGTGTTGACAGAGGCAGTGCAGTTAAAGGCTTGTGCGTGCCCATGTGGAGGAGGTTGGGGGTTATATTTAGCAAAGTGGCCCATCAAACCGGCCGAGGTTAACCCTTCGCCAGCAAACCAGGAGTTATTTAAGATTTCTCTCTGTGAATGTTCCGAAAGAAGAAAATGCAAATGATTTCAAACCAAATGAGCACTTCAAAAACCTCTTCAAGCAAGACTGTATCTCTGTCGTGACACAGAAAGTAATAATTGCCTGGTCATTTATTAATCTGCATAGGTGTGATATAGCTGGATAATCCACATCAAAGTGGTTTCCTGACACGCTTCCATTCTAGTAGAGGTTGTCAGTACACATGGGGATACAAAAACTATTTGTTTGAACAAGATCACCCAAAACCACTGTGTTTTTTTTATGCCACAAGTCTTTGTTTTTGACTCGGGTGTGCACAGAAAAGCATAACCTCTGTGGAAACCTCATCTGCTATTAACATAACTTCAATGTTTTTCAGTGGTGTCTGATCAAGCTCCGTGCGTCACCGTGAGCCGTCTGCTCTCCTCTGCCCTCTGATCAATATAAATCAATGAATCCAGACAAAAACGATCCACACATAGCTGCTTCCGCCCTGTGAATTTCTGCTGTCAGGCAGACCGTTTGTCCTGCTGCTCTGCTTTCAGCTTCTGAGGAGCTGCTGACAGACGGACAGCTGGCTCCGAGGACGCCGAGTGGATTTCAAAGTCGGTGTGAGAACACAGAGATTTGAGCTAAATACACGTGTCAGCATGCTAATGTGATCACGATGACTATGGAAAAAAAAAATCAATCAATCAGTGCCTCCTACCTGACCCTCTCAGAATGCACAATAACTCTAATATATTTAAGGAGGCCATGTAAAATGTTACCTTCATACAAGTTACAGGCCCTCAAATAATCCCTGTTATTTTTCCAACATTTTTCAACCCTCATAAATCATGTACACACACACACATTACATTTTCAGGAATGAAAAACACCTTTGAGCTGTGTTTTGTAAACTATAACGTACAGCAGGGGTTAAAAGCTTTTCATCCCAAGAGATAATGCTCCCCAAATACCGTGACCCCCAATATCCGCAGAAATGCTTGAAGCATGCAAGAGGCCTACCCTACTGTAGACACACATCACTACAACACACACACACACACATAAAACCATCATATTATTTTATAGTAATTTAATCTAGCCTAAATCCATCAGTCACCATCATCGCCGTGTATAAACTGCAGCACCGAGTAAACACACAGCATGTAGGAGCAGCAGATTCAACAATCATGGCTCAAAATGTGGTATTTCTGATCGTTCTGAAAGTTTACTTGATTTCTGAAAATCACAACACACCCACAGAATCTCACGACCTCCAGGTGGGTCCCAGCCCCTGCTTTGAGAACAACTACAGCTAAAATGACACATTGATTAATTGACTTAAAGTAAATCAGCCTGCAGCTATTTAGATTATTGCTCAAGCTTCTCCATTGAGAAGATTTACTGCTTAACTTTGTTTTATATCACTTTAAATGGAGTGTTTTGCACTGTCTGTCGAACAAAACGGGACATTAAAAGATGTCAACTTGGGAAATTGTGACTAAAAAAAGTTGTTTTTTTCACTGACAATGAATCAACTACTTGGAGTAAAAACTACTTCACACTAATGAGTAATAAAAGTAATTGCAAGCTGCAGCCCAAATACGATGTCAGCATCTGTTTGACAACCATGGCAGGTGTACTGTCATCTTAGTTTGACCTGTTGTCACTAGTTTTAATTTGTTATTTATCAATAATTTACCACTAATTAGCACAAACCAAAAAGGGAACATGGAGCATCCTTATTATGCAGGTAATTGATTAAAAATCAATTTAGAGCTCGATGAGAAGGACCAAAGTTATTGCAATTCATCATGAAAAGGGGCAAAATTCAGTGACAATCTTTTCAGTCGCTAAGTCAAACTTTGCAAAGTCATTAGGATTCGTCATCTGTCTTGGCAAAATGTCACATCCGTTCATGAATCGGCTGTTGAAAACAGGTAGATTTAGCCGTATTGTCTTTGGATCTCGGCCGAGGCACTGATATATCAGCCGTCAGAAGAAAGAAGATGACGTGCGGTAGCATCTCTGCCGAGTGAATCACTGCGAGACACGGTGTAATTTAACAGTCCATCCTTAAACCAGCAGCTCAGAGGGGACAAACAACCACTCTTCAACTTGTTGATATGAATAATCCCATAATTGAAACAATCTGGTTGAAATTGCAGAGGGGGCTACCTTCGAGAAGCCAATAACAGAGTGAACGGGGGGGAAATCAAAAACACTTATTCCCTGAAAGTACAGTTATTGTCGTGTGGAAGGCTGCTATACGTGTAAACAGTCATTTAGCCTGGGTGGAGGTTAGACGTGTGGAAGGACAGATTCAGAGATAAACATTTGCAGCTATGTTTCTGGTTAAAGGAGGTGTATATGTGTGTGCGACCTTTCCTCGGCGCCTTTAATCATCCGCTGCTCCATCTGACTGTTGGTCTGTTTACGACGTGATTAGGAACCTGACAGCGTGGACGGGCTTCTTGATCATATTAGCTGATGTGGTTCATGAATTAAAAGGAAAGACTTTAGTCCAACACTGACCAAAGAATAAACACACAAGCTGATTTCATATACGGACCGAAAGAAAATGCAAAGCAGAGCTGAACAGTTGTTCTCTGTGTGATGATGCAAAACAGGACAGTGGGACAGAAAAACTCCTTCAGGCCAAAGAGGCAGAACACTGTCTGAAACGTGAACCTCAGAAACAAGCTACTACTGTAAAGCAACGTGCCAAAAAAATGAGAACAACAACTATACAAAGTGCCGTGAATAAGGGTAAGAAGAGCTGGATTTAAGAGGACTAGAAGCTTCTGTTTCCTCTCAGACATTTCCAAGTGCTGTGGGAGCCCTTTGTAAGAGACAAGGGATGATGGGAAAAGATGCGTGAGAGAAGAAGGAAAAGAAAATAAGCCTCTGGCTATGAGCACGTTTTAAGACAATGACTTCATCTGCGACTATAAACAGCAGAAAGTGACGCTGCGGTCACGTGTGAAAGGCTGCACCACCTGTTCTGCCTGTGAAACGCGATATTCACCTGCAACATTAAAGGAGTAGTTCCACACTTTGCGGAAGGCACATCTGCTTGTTGAGTAGATTAATGCCGCTTCTATCCGTCTGTTACAGCCCCTGTAATGGATATTTTCATATTAGAAAGGTTCGTCACCTGACTGAGCTGAAAGATGCTGTAAAGCTTCATGAGAATAGCTTGGTACCACTCTCAAAGCGACGTTTTTGGCCACAGCGGTTTTCATTTGTACCACCGTACTATGGATGCAGCACCAACAAACACACTGACAAAATCAGCAGCTTTTACAGTCTAGCAGCAAAAAACCCTGATATTTATTTGAAAAAACTGGGTTCCGCAAAATCAGAAAAGCAACATGTGATTTTAAGTCACTGTGCCAATTCAATGTACTTTTTTTTTTTTAAAGCAAATGATTAGGCTCAGAAAAAACAAAAGTTTTTCTTAGTCTTTTTTGAGTTGTGACAACTTCTTAGAAATCTATGTTCAAGCAACGAACTACATTAATTAAGGGTAATTGGTAGTGATCCACGATATAAACATTTCTGGCTGACATCTATATCTGATATTAAGATTTCTGATATCGCCGATGTCGATATTCAATTTTTGTTCACACCGAAAAATGAGTATCAGTAAGCACTGTGAGAACGTGAAAACTATTCATAAGACGCCCATACCAAATTAGACCACATAGTCTTCCTTGTTTTACGAAACAAAAGTTAATGTTAGACAGTCATCGTTTTTTTCACATCGGCTAAATTTGTTCATCAGACTGATACCGATATATCGGAGAAAAAACGCTAATATTGGCCGATACCGATGCGGTCGCCGATGTATCGTGCATCCCCAGTAAGAGGCTTTCCCGAGGAATCAAAATGTATTTTTAATTACGAGTCTTAACTGTGTGAAATTGTCGTGTTAAAACAAAAGGAGATGAAGAAAGTTCACAAGCCAATTTGACTAATTTACTGCAACTTGAATTTTTTTGTAAATCATTTGAAGTTACACAGCATTATGTCGATCCATCCCATCAAATTAACGTCTGCAGTTTAAAAGGTTGAGCTAATATAGTTCATTTTTTCTTTCATGTCGTTGGAAGAAAGGAGAAATTCCAGCTCTAGTTGCTATTTTCTTTATATAGGTGTATGCTTTTATGTATTTATCAAGGTTGTCCTTACTGGCTGTTAGCACAATTGTGAGATGCCACCAGAATTTTATTGCCATTGGGGACATTTTCTTCTCCGTTTTCTTCTGTCTTGAAAAATTTCAAGGGTAGTGCGATAAAATGTTGTGACGCATTTTTAAAGTCCAATAGATAAACTCAGAAATACACTGTGTCACACTACAAACAAACAACGTCCTTAAAAAAATGGCACTTTGGAGTTGCATTTTTTCATCCCACACTCTCTAAGATTCTTTGATTTAACAATCAGATTTGAGATTTGCAAATGCAACAGACATCATTTACGCCTACAAGCATTTCAAAGGGTACCATGACATTTTGGTCACTGTAATTTTATTAACGAGTTAGTAATGCAGAATTCCTGCTTCCCTGAGATCTGAAAGCATTTCTATAGGTAGTAGCTAAGAAAGATGACTAAATATTTGCTCTATTGTTGTTAAAAGCACTAAACATTACTCCATAAGGACAGCATCATGTTTCAGATTCTCATGAAGAGCAAAGAACCACAAACTATAAGAGAAACCACAAAGAGGACTAAAAGCTGGTGGACCACAAGGTTAGCAGGACTACAGCTGTCTATGAACAAAGCATCAACGAAGAGGAGAGTTTTTAAAGGGGAATCCCCCTGCAGAAGAAACAGGACACCAAAACACATTCAACAAAATAACAAAAGGTTCAATATCACTTTTTTTCATTTGAAACGCATACATGGGGCGAATTTGACGTGTGTAGATGTAAGAAACAAGTGGTTTGTGTCACATGACCTGTATAAACTATCTGTGGAGCTGTGGTTCAATCCACATGCACAAAAGTACAGAAAAGAAGTGATGAGATGGAAGGAAGGAAACACTCTGACATGAGGAAGAGGATCATTGCATCACTGTCTGATTTGATTTCATTACAGTCTGCAACATTCAGAGCAGAAGAGAAACTGCCCTGATGTGAGGTTGACCGAGATTTACAGTAGTACGAGAAAAGGCAAACTTGCAAACCAAGAGTTTGAGTGAAATCATGGCCAGCGCCGTGAAAATGTTTCTACTGAGCAGCACAACGCTAACAAAAAGTAAATACACATTGTTGTGAAAAACCAAATACATATATTAGCATAAGCTGTAACGCTGCACATGAAACTGGGATAATTATTATTCTTGAGCAGCAGGAGATGAGAGAGAGAGAAAAACAAAAAAGAAGAGCAGATCATGACCTGGAATGGCATCAGGAAAAGGCAGAAATGCAAAGAAGGGAAAAGAAAAAGGAAATCACACTGGAACAATGGAAAGACAGTCTGACGGAGGAAGTTTAAACCGTAACAAGCCACGAGCCAGGCCAAAATCACTAACACACGCGGGTGCCCACACATGCACACACACAGACACACACACACACACTGCATGTATGCACAAATTACAGCAGTCTAGTCGGGCTCCAGCAGAAAGACTGAACGCTGCACATGTTCCCTCACAGATCTGCAGCTTTTTCACTTCCCCAAAAACTCTGCAGAGAAAATACTTTGAACCCTGTTATTATTATAATATAGATATTCTACTTTCTGTTTCTTTATGGGAAAACCATCTGCAGATGAACCTCAAGTGATGTGATTAAAAGCACCAGAGCAGCTGCTAAACGAACCTCGTGGTGAGAGTTTTCTCTCAACTGCAGCACTGTAAAAAGTGAACATTTTAAAACTATTTACTGATATGTATAGATTTTTATTGTTTTGTTAAATTATAGATAGTTATTAATTAAATCACAGTTTAAAAAAAATATATATATTAATTTACATGGTGGACATAAAAAGAAAGGCCAACATTTTACAGATATTTGATGGTATTTGTCAGGGGGAAAAATCTATATATCAAGTGTTGCATATTTTGTTAAATTACAATAAACATTTAGTGAAATCACAGAAGAGAAGTACTAACTTTCATATTGACTGTAAAAAAAAAAAAAACATTTTAAAAAATATACAAATAGTATGTGTGACTGTAAAAAATATATTATTTTGATATTTTACCACCAAGTCTTTGAACATTATGAAATTCCACCATTGTTCTTGTTTTTAAGTATTTTTTCTGGCATTTCTGCAGCCAGGTTTTCACTTTTTTGCCATGACTTTTTTTTTTCTTCTTTTTTTTAAACAGTGTATTACTATTTCCAGGGTAAAGAGACACTTTGAGCACAAGTTTATAAACCAACATTTAGAATCACTCCTCAGGTGTTTACTGCAAAATGGTAGTCAGATCATTTACAGTTCTATGTAAACTCCATCTGCAGATGAAGACCATGTGATACCATCAGAAGTCTCAGAGTAGCTACTGTTTCCAAGACAAAGAGCAGACCTCATCTTTCAAGCCAAAATAAATCTTTAACACTTAGAAAAATAATCCAACTCCATGTCAACTGGAGAATTCTATCTATCGTTGAAAATAATGACATATGAGCAAAAACAGCAACTAACTAGACTGTCTAAGTGAACTTTGAGGCTCATCTCTGAGGCCAACATCAACGAGAAGACCTGAATTGATTGCAGTCGATTGGTGGATGGAAAACGAATCAGTCATTTTGATTTAATTTTAATAATGTTTTTTTTTTTTTTTTTTTTTTTTTTAAACAAAACATTAGACACCGTTGTTTCGAGCATCTTAAATGTGATGTATGAATAAAGATACAGGAGCAATCGGTCTGTTTCTAGAACAAAACAAGACAATTAAAGATATTTTTCAGCACTTTTTTGTGTAACGTAGACCACATCTCTATAGCTACTTTGACAGTAGCATAAATCTGCAAAGACCAATGTTTGAACAACAGATGAAAGCGATAACATCCAAAAAATACGTGCCCATTAATTGACCACAACAAACAGTTAAACTAAAGTAAATCTGAGTCATCTGAGCGTTTGTTTAAGCCTGAGCATCACACGCTCCTTCCAGTGACTTTTAACACAGCAGCAGTGAATCACAGCATACAGAGCCGAGATTTCTAAGTCTGTGTTTTTGCTTTTCGGTGGACGACGGAGACCAGACAAGACATCTGGTCCCAGATTAGACCAGTGTGTTTAAGACAAGCTTAAGACTCCGGTGGCCTGGAACACTGAAGGGTTCCAGACTCAACCAATTAAGGCTGCTAAACTTTAACTCCATGCTGACTTCACCCACTGCATAAACCCATGAACTGCCAGCGCTGCATCCATCGCACATCGGCGTGTCGAGTCAAGAGAGGGAGCAGAAAGATCAGAGCTGAACTTAACGGTC